ACCTACTAATTCAATTTTGTGCCCGTTTCTATCAATGATAGATTAACTTTAATTACGGTTCAATTTGTTCCTCAGCTCTCTCTCTAATTTTAAGAATTGGAAAAAGATAAAGGATTAGATAAACAGGATTAAAATAAGCTATATTGATAGAAACAAGCATTAGAACTAGAAAAATGAGAAGTTAGCTGGAATTACACTACATTAGTACACTGAGAAAAAAATATTAATTGACTCAATACGGCGGTCACGGGTTGTCAAGCAAATATTTGTTAATTCGAAGATACGTCATGTCGAAATAAGTGAAACAAATAATGTACTTGACTCAAATACATTAATATTTCGACTAAACAAATCATAACCAACTAAACGCATTTAGTTCAGTTAACAACTTTGTTTTCTCAGTGTAGAAATTAGAAATAAGGCATTCAGAGAATCTACGAAACACTCCGTTCCTATTGAAGAGAAATATCCTTGACGAAATATGCAAAATACGGATACACGCAAGAAGATTGGAAAGCCGGAAGTCCGAACAGACGTATACAGTTGCGTGGTAACAACATAGACAAACAGAGATTTCTCCACGCAGCCACGACCTTAAGCCAAAGAGCAGCGCTGTTTAACATGTCAAATGTGACAGTAAAGATATACGATTTATTCGCGTTTGGCTTCAGAATTCTCCGTGCAAAATATCTAATGGCACAAAGTTGCGGAATATTCGAAACTACAGAATCTATAATTTGCACACCAATGGTAAACCCGCATAGGCGGAACTCCAGCATCATCGTTATTCGGACATCAAAGAACGATCAAATGACAAGCGATGTTCCAAATACGAATATTATTCGCGCACATAGGTATGGCTCTGTCCGAGATTCCACGCAATTTGCACATTGTGCAAAGAAGTTTCACAAACGATGACCTATTTACAGCATTTAGATATAATCGCTGTAATAGGATTGTCCCTTTTGTACTTGATATAAATCGAGTTAAGCTTTGTGCCGGCTAATACTCTAATAAGGCGACTCAAATCAATTGTGTAATATATCATATCGCACCTAAAATTTGAAATAATTCAAAAAGAATAAATATTCATTTACTGTACATACATATAACAATGTATAATTAATTTTTATTCATTCGTATGTTATTTTATTAATTATATTATACATTATTTTACAACTCATATTTTAATTAAATGTTAATATTACATTAAATTAAATATTGCGTGTATTCAATGGATGACCGTAGTTTCGCTTTAGCGAAAGACAATAAAATATACCAAAAATCGACAGTACCGACTGAAAGCCCTTGTAACAAGAACGTATCGTTTTTACGATATATACGCAATTAAAAAATCATTTTTCCAATGCAAATATAATCATTCTGAATAACATTAAACAATATTCGTTAAAGAATAGAATAAATTGATATTTTAGTCCTTTATTAAAATAATTGGCGAAATTTCCTTTATCAACGCGATTCGACGATCGTATCTATCTTTGAGAAGACGAAACAGGAATCGATCGCCGCGCATGCGTTTCTGCGGTTGACGATCCAATTATTTCCATAAGGCGAACATCTAACGAGCTTCCACGTTCCACGTGCACTCCCGCCCGTTCATCCATCTACCCATCCATCCATCCATCCATCCATTCGCCGCCCATCCATCTATCCATCCGTCCGTCCGTCGTCCGACCGTTCGTTCGTCCAGTCGGCCAAGCTTAAAATTAGACTCTATGAAACGAACAATCCGGAAGCGAACAAGACTGAGCGAGCTAGTACCAAATTTATTTAGCGCGAATTTAAATTCCGTCCTGTGTCCGCAAATTCATTCATTCGTTCGTTCATTCAACCGACGCAAATCGGCCGAAGTGCACTCTGTCTTTCTCCCTCTTCTAGCAGCTGTTTGAAAAATTGCCGCGATAACTTCTCTCAAACGTAGCGGAACGCCCGACTATAAGATCGTTTGGACCATATGATGTAAAAGAGAAAGGTGTTATAACATTACACATTGTAGTATCACACAACCAATGCAATGTGTAATTCAATTTTTATGTATTAACATTTTATTGTATACATTAAGTTATTTTATCAATTATATCATACATTATTTTACAAATCATATTTTAATTAAATGTTAATATATTAAATGATATATTGCGTATGTTCGGAAACAGCCAATCGAATTTGACCAAAAATACACTCTCCTTATATACTGCTCATCATCCATGGGAATGGAACACCTTTTCTTTTACATCGTGTACGAACGTTGCCCTAGGTTCTCATCTCACATGGACACGAGCAATGCGAACGAACGAAGGTGCCGGGGCACATTCTCTCGGAATCGACGAAAAAGTCCGAGTATTCATTTCGACAGCCAGAGTTGCGTGTGTTGGTCCAGAGAGTAATTGTTTGTCTGCACATTATTCAACGTTTACAGAATTGTACGCGGGCGTTCTCTTTATCTCTCGCTGTACAGCGCTACTCGTTACCGAGCACTTTGTTAGACCGTCCTTGATTAATATTACGTAATATTATGCTGCATTTTTGGACGAATTTTACGATGAGCGTTAATTACGTCGGAGGCGTTGTTTGCAGGAATTCTCGCGTAACGGTCGTAAATTTGTAAATGTAAGTAGCGAATGTACCGTACGGAATGTTTCGCAAGTTCTGCGCGTAACTTGTCATATCTCCATGATTTATCAATCCTTAATTCTCCGGTACAGCAATTATATTACAACGCAACGCAATCTAGCTGTGTAAGAGCTATCTACGCGAAACCATTATTTGTCCCGCAAATGTCAACAATTTAGCACGAATACATTTTCGAGAAGCGTCGCGTAATATAGCAATAAAATTTGCCAGCCACTAAAAAAGCGAGACGATGGTTTAACAGTCGACCTCTAAATGCATTCCTGGCTACGATGATATCGTAAACGAGGAGTGCCATAAAAGAAAATCGTTAGCTCCTGCGAAAACGTGCCAAAGCTGACATCAACCTAGTTGCAACAAGAGTAATAATTAGTCGGAGAACGCAATCCTTGAAGCCATTTATGCCATAGTCGTTGATGTAACAATAGGGAAAGAGAGCAGAAAACTCGTAAAATTATCAACCGTTAGTGCGACACGAAACACGTCGCGTTTCACCGATCTCAATGTTTTATCGAAGTTGGTTATCTCTCTCGATTAAGATGACGCATCGAATTTTTACATTGTATCATTTTCAAATACATTAATCCTAATCGGTATTCATCCAGTAGATATTCTTCAACCACATTGTTTATGATAAATGTTTTAACACAATTTTAAGTTACATAATTTTATTCCTTTGATTTTGATCTTTAGAATAAAAAAATCGTTCAATTGCAAACTTTAAGTAAAAATACATTGATTTTATGTACATTAAACATCGCGCACGAAAAGGATAATTTTGCTAAAATATCTAATTTAGGTAAATACGTAAAAATCTCAAAATAATTTTGTTGGACCGTCCAAATAATTATGTAGGAAATTCCAGTGTTATGAGGAATGCGGCAAAAAATTGACATTCTAGTAATCATTTGAACGTACATAATTAATTTGATAGAGAGAGAGTCCAGTAAAATTTATTTAAAAATCTGTATCTAATTAAAAATTTGTCGATGCTTCAGCAAAATCATTTTTTCCATGCGAATATCTCAGTTAAAAAATTTGTGAAACAAACACGGATTAGGGTTAAATATACCTCATCTTTGACGATATTGGTGCATCGCACTGACGTACTTGGAATTTCAAAATATCAAAACGCGATCGAGTTGCGGAAATACCGCGAAACCACTGAGTGCTATTGTTCGCGTTTGCTGATTCCACCATAAGGACTGATTCATTCGGCGCCGCGTCAACTATCCCATTTCGTAGCATTAGGTTAACCCTTTGCGGTCTACCTGACTCGATGCAGTGGTTTACGAACGCGTACACAACACCTAAAAAGGGTTGTGTACTATGAACTGGCGGATTCGAGACAGTTTCAACGTGTAACGTTTCACGTATAGTAAGCACGAAATAACGTTGCCACGAGACAAAATGTACGGCGTGATGCGTGATTTTTAATCTCCGGAGGGCCATTTGTTTTCGCTACTTTGCGTTTCAGCGCATCGGGACATCGCGGCGGAATGTAATGGAAATACAATGGGAGATGAAAAGCGAGATGCGCGAGGCGAGTAACAATATTACTGCAGATGGGGATGCGGCGGATTGTAGGTAAAAAGCGCGATCGACAGGATTTCAACTCCGCCTGACCTTTGTTATACTGGCATCGGAGAAAACGAGGAAAATCGGAAGCAGAAAACAAGAACGACGGTTTACACGAGTAAATCTGTGAACAGATACGAGCGACAGAAAAAGCTATTTTTTAATGATCTGATTAAAAATTATTTTTATGGTATAAATAACAAAGCTATCTCTTTTTTTTTCTTCAAACGAAATAAACGTACACTCGACTTAATTTAATCGCCAAGAATCAAAGGGAAACGGAAATCTCGCCCAAAAGCTAGAGAGGTTTGAGAACCACTGGCTGCAGCAGGCCCGAGAGAATCGTGCGCGAAGGATGAAGGAAGGCGCAATAACAATATCGCGTCCTGCCCTTGCCGCATGCAACCAACCAGGGGGTAACGTCCTGTTACACCAGTCTGACCACTTCGCTCGTCTCTCTTCTCTAACCCTTCTCCGTGCGCGCTCGGACCGTTTTGCTTTGCACCGGCTTTGCTTTCGCCTTCGCCTTTCGCGGCCGGCGAGCGAAAACGTCGCGCGCGACCCGCTTTTCGCTAATCGCAATCCCATTCAGCGCGCGACTCGTTTCCACTGCACGTATAGCAGCATAATAGGGGCGTTCCTGAGAGTTCTCTCTTGCCTCGAGTCATCCGCGTCGCGAGGCGATGCACGCACACCAAACAGCGATCCATAAAACGCAAGTTTGAGAAAAAAAAAAAAGTTATTCGTTAAAACGAGTGATCGTTACTCACCAATAATGATGTCCGCCCTTGCAGTCTCCGCGGTGAATCAGCACTAAGACCTGCATAATCAAGACAGTGATGATTTTAGTTTTCGCTTAATATGCGTACGCGTGGTGCGTATTATTATAATTAACATCGCGTGTGTTAACGTCACGTATCTCTTAAACCTATCTTAACGCTATTGTACGCGAAGGAACGCGGTAATTAAGATACCAGCGTCGCCTTGCACTTCTTGAGTTTAGCGTCTTCAAAGTTTCATGTGTTGTTAATTTTTAAACGCCTTTTCGAACGGACTTTCCTTTTTCCAATGTTTTTTTTTTAATGCCTTTGCCATTGTGTTTACAACTTTTTTTTATAAATCAAGATAAGTACGGACATTTCTTAGTATCATTTTTTATTCACAATTAAAATACGGACTCTTCAGAATACTATTAATTACAATAAAAAGACTTTAGAAGTCGACGCAGAAAACTGTTTTTTTTTTTTGTGTCAACTTCTAAAGCCTTTTTATTGTATTATAATTAATTATATTGTTTAGTATTGTTATATATACATGTTTCAGTTTTTCATTTTCTGGTGGCCAGATTTAATCTGATGATAATATAAAAATTAATTTTGCAATAACTTTTAAAATCAGTTTAGCGATTAATCATAGCTAGAGAAATAATTTTTACATTGACATCAAATTAAATTAAGTTAATTTTAAATCGCAAATTAATCAGACAATTAAAAAAACTGGGCCTTTTTAAGTAACTTTGAGTAAAAAAAATTATTTGCAATGTTTATTTTTATGAAAATTCAACAATGTAATTGGCTTGGCATGCCAATCCAAATATTGTTCATGTAATGGCATTTAAGGATTAACAATGTTTATTTGAATTAGAGACGCAATAATAGATAAATATTTTTAATGACAAGTACTTAGAAACGTAACTCGTTTTTCAAGATATTTATTTTTTACGACACCCGCGTTATTGGAATTGTACGTACAGATACGCTCCTGTAATAAACAAACCGATGCAAATTAAATTAAAGTTACGAGTTTATTGCGTTAGCATTAATTAATAACAAAACATTCGCTTTAGAATGAAATTACGTTTTGAGCCGCGACCGCGGTTCACGCATTCTTACGGCTGGCAAGGAAAAAAAAAAACGCACTATGCGTTCCACGTCCGAGCGCATCGCACGATCATAAAACTGCCCCGAGACTACGACCGACCGAGTATCGCATCACGTGCGTGGAATTAATTACATCTACTCGCACAACTATTTATCGCCGTCCGGAGACGGAGCCGACTCTCGAAGTGGACCGTAAACGTGGCGCTTCTGAAAGAAATTGCGAAACCGCTTGGGAGATAAATCGTCTCGATTAACGAACGCGCATCTCTGTGGAATCTACGCGAGGTCACCCACAGGCTGACCCGCATACCACCGTCGATGAAGAACATCCTTATTAAATCCTCAGTTGCTCAAGATGCCTCGCTGATCTATAAACGGCGATGATGAAAATAACGACAGAAACATACGAGTTTTATTCGTCAAACGAACGTCTCGCGACAAAGGTTACAGGTGGCCAGAATGGAGTAACGTAGTCCATAGATCAAAGTCCATAGATTGATTTAGCTATTTAAATTAATCCACTTGAAACAAAAGGATAGAACTGCAGCGTTAAAACAATTGGACCGAGCATCGAAATCAATTCCAAGGACTGACCGGCGTGAAACCTTGGGCACTTTGCTAGATCACTGTCACCAGGTGCACGACGGAGAACAAACTTCACTCGCCGGCTACACGGCCTGCATGCTCGCGAATCACGATCGGGCTCACTCAAGGTTGAAAATTCCAGACGCCCCCCCCCCCCCCCCTCCCCCCCCCCTCCCCTCCCCCGAGATAGGTCAGGGACAATGAACGTGCCAAACGCAGCGGCAGCAGCAGCTGCACCCCGAGGTTCATTCAACTTTCCCACGCGAGAACGTTCTTTTACATTACACCAATAAGCGGCTGCTGCGTGTCGCCGTTGGAAACACGATTCATGACGTCCTTCCGTTTCTCATTTTCGGACCTCCGACGCTCATCGGCCGGAAGATTCGATCGACGCGAACGAACCTGAGCGTAAGAGCGGCGGCTGCTGGAGCATCAACGCCTGGGAGATTCTGGACCTTCTCTCCCTGATTCTCGCTGAGAAGAATTCGCCGCGAGGAAGAATTTCACGGCGAGAAGAAGCTTCCGCGCGAGCGTGACTCTCGCGTGGCAGGCACGATTGCGGCGGCAGAACTAGCACTAGGCCGAGAACACGAGTAAACTTCACCAAGTGGCCGAGGCTCGTCCACCTCTTCCTCGTCGCGAGGAGCCGCGAGTACTGGTGGGGCGAATCGCTCGCGGAGGGAGATCGTGGTGGCCGAAGAGAAAAGAGGAGAGCAGCGCGGACGGAGAGGAGAGGAGAGAAGAGAAGCGGCGTGTTCTACGCGCGCGAGCAATGTATGCGTGGCGCGGTGCAGCGCGGCATCGAGCTGCAATGTGCGCGCGAGTAATGCGGATGCATCGCGATGCGGCGCGAGAGATGGAGGAAGATGCGGAGAGCACGAGAGAGAGAAAGATAGGCAGATAGATAAAGGCGTTTATTGTTGTTCCAGGGCAAGCCTTCTAGGAACATAAAAAAGAGAAAGATAGAAGAGATATGCAATTTATTACGAAAGTAGTACAACGAGAATAAATGAAACTGATACAAATAAAATAGGGAAATAAACTATATAAAGACAGAACGATGATATGGAGAACGGACGCGAATGAAGAAAAAAGAAAAAAAAAGTCAAAACCAGATAAAAAATAATAATTAAAGAAACGGAGAGAAAGTCAATGAACGATTATTCGAGACCGCCGCGCGATGAGAATTTCATGGTTTACGAAGATCTCTGCTAAGCGACCCCGGAGGTCACGCATGATAAAACTCAGGCTTTTGAAGCCAGATTTCTCGATAAGGGAACGTACATATATCGTATTCCTAGGAGATGTGCGTCCGCAAACAGAAACCAGTTGTTTATACCGAAAGCACGATTACGTCGCTTACGTGAGCGGCAAACGCTGACTAACCGCCCGCGTCACTTGACACCACCAAGATTATGCATCTCGACGAATTCATCGATAGAGAATGCGACACCAGGCAGGGACAGCACATGCATCGAGAATGCCGATTATTAAACAACTAAAGACACTTTGGAAAGAAATATGGAAACCGATGGCACGATAAAATAATTCCGAATTTCCTTTATTAGTTATTTATGTAATGGAAAATTAGAACCTATTATCTATACCATTATGTAATACGCGCGATAAAAGAAACTATTATTTTTAAACAAATTAAAAAATGTCAAAGTGTGACAATAAAATGAGAATGTTTTGTCTATACATTTTTATAAAAATTCCACATAAGTGATTACGATCACTTCAATCAGTTTAAAGTTATTATAGGTACAAAATTGGTGCTTATGTAAACAGCTTATGTAATGTAGCCCTGAATCTTTTCTAGATTAGCTAGAAACGTTACCAAAATTTCAAACCGAGCGATATAAAACAGAATCTCATTAAAAAAAAGAAGACTAAAATTGACGAATCGTAACTTTGAAACGATTCTGCTCTACCTACATTTTTATAGAAGATACACATCGGTGATTAAATCGATTACTTTAATCAATTTAAAATTACACACACAAAAGACTTATTCTTTTTTCATAATCTAGGATTAAACTTCTTACACGGTTCCTCTTTTGTCTTTTCAATATGAAAAAAAAAAACAAGGAAGGGTGAACCGCGCAAGAAATTCAGTCCTAAAGTACAGAAAAAGAACAAGCCTAACATCTCAATGCCTATATAGAAAAAAACGTAGTCCTGATTCTTTTCCAGACTAATTCAAGGCGTCTCTGAAATTTGAAACCAAATGATTGAAAGTGCACGAGGATAAAACCTCAGTCGGCGGTGCCACGAGATCGCGATTAGCGTAGCCGTGGCGAAGATAACACTCGCGACTCGACCCGCTAGATCACGGGAGTGATTCGGACGGGCGCACGTTTCGCACGTACCTGCGGCTGGTCTTTTTCTTGCCTTGAAACCACTCTCTCTCGAGAAGAAACCCGCCGTCGTCGGAACCCGTTTTTCTCATCCGTCGCTACGACGGCGAGGACACGGGCAACGGATGAACGTGGATCGCGGAAAGGGTCGCCGCGCGGCGCCGCGCAGTGCGAAGTCGCGGCGCGTAACGGGTTAACCCGATGCACGGCATGACATGACATGCGTGTCGCTCACGATACGGCGCGTATGACGTGGCGTGCGTGCGGAAGTATATCGATCAGCTGACGGTCGGGCGGATACTGGGCCGCTTCGCGGAATTCACCATATTGTTGCGTCGGCACGCATGCGCCGAGCCCTCGTCCCTTCGTTCTGTCACTCTCATTCTTTCTCTCTCTCCCTCTCTCTCTTTCTCCCTTCCTTCCTATCTCTTCCTCTTTTCTCTTTTCTTCCCTTACATTCTTCTCCCTCGCCGCGTCTCTCCCGCGGCACCCATCCCCCGTCTAGTATTCCACGATACGTATAGAATGATTCAGCAGGAACCCGCGATGTAGTTCCGAAACGTGTTCCGAGAGGGTGAGAGGGAGACCGAAATACAAGTCCATCTACGATGGACTTACGTGTGCACCGTTTATCGATATGGAAAACACGATTTTAGACAAACAGAAGAGACACCTTGAAATAAACGAAATCTTCACAAAGAAATTCCTGTGCTTTAAAAGTTACTCTTGACGATAGAACGAGCGGAATGAGTTTTGTTTTACGATCGAGAGCAAAACAAAGGCACTTCTTATACGCTAGTGTTGAATTCACAATTTCAAATTATACCCAATTTGAGTTGTTTTTAATCATTTCTATAGGTCGCCATTGCTTCCATTCAGTAGTCGTTAATTTAACTAAAACAATGGAGTTAAACAATTTAACGAAAAAATTTATTTTTTTACTCAAATTTATCATCTGCTAAATGCGTTAATATGAATTGTTTTGAAAC